ACAGGGTGGCAGGTGGGAGCAGGTCTGTAATGGGAGCCCATTTTTAAACCTGCCTCCCTGCTACCTCTGATATAGAGGCAGCAAGGGGGCAGGGAAATGCGCGTCGTTCATAGGATTAATGATAAGCCCAGGCTAATCGTGTAGTCGACTACATAACAGCCAGCATCAGGGGCAAGCCCCTGGCCAATGCAGGCAGAAGGTGCAGCCTCCTGGGCTCCTTCAGCAGGTTGAACCTGGCAAGTCGCAGCAGGATTTGAAAGACCAGCCCAGGAGCTAAAGCCACACAGTGTCCTCCTGGGTGCCTGGGAAGGGGCAGGTCTTTTGTGAGCTACACCCTGAGCCAGGCGACTTTTGGGAGGACAGTCAGCAGCCCCAGAGCAGGACCTCCACTAAACACAGCGGACTCATCATTGAGTCACTGACGGACAGTGGGGTGTACTCTGGCTCCCACACTAATTAATCCCACCTGGGTATCCCTATGCCCTGGTCTGGGCCCTGTGCTCCTGGAAGAGGCTGGCAAACCCAACAAGGCTCCTAGGGTTCTGCTCACTCTCCCCCCTCCCCCCTCGGGCAGCAGATGGAAGTGATATATCCCAGAGCTGGGTTCCCACATCAACCTTCCAGCACTGCTGTGTCACATCATATTAAAGATGGGGGTGGCTCAATCCACAGGCAAACCGGGCGTGGTGCACCAGCTGCTGGCAAGTCACCAGCACAGCCGATGGCAGAGCCAGAGGCAGGAACCCCCAACCTAGAGATGGCTGCAGCAAAGCTCAGAAACTGGGCTGTGCATAGAGCTGGCGCCCGCACCAGGGATTTCACTCAGGCCCTTAATTTCTTTTCTCACAACTGCAGTCGCCTGTGCCAGCACCACCTGTCTCTGCCACTGCCCAGCTAAAACCCCCTCACTGGGTCAGTTACATGTGATGGTGGGCTCTGCTGGGCTCCATCATTGTCCCAGGTCAGAATGCTCCCCCCCTCCTTTGTTCACCCATTTATCTCCCTCCAAAGATTCCCAGGCCCCGAGCACTTTGCAAAGATTCAGCTCAGCCTCCCAAAACAACCCCCTCCCGCCATTTTGTAGCTCACGGGGCAACTGTAGGGCTGACTGCTCCTCATTCTCCTGCTAGGGAAACTGAGGCACGGAGCAAGGCAGTGATGCAGTACAGTGAGTCCAACTGGCAGAGCCCAGAACCCGGATCTCTTGACTCCCAGCCCCAGCCTTTGCAAGCTCCAGTTTCAAACCCAGCTACACATCGAAATCCTTTTTGATTTCCGGGGGGCATTTAGGCGAGGACCCCCAAAAAGTTTTAGGTTTTTAATTTCCAGTGAGAGTTCGGAGCCTAAATACCTTCAAGAATCTAAGCACAGTGCTTCCATGGACTTCACCATGTGCTTAATTGTCATGCCAGATCAGGGCCTCAATGAGCAAAGCTCCTCCCTCCACCATGTGTGCGCTGTACCTTCAACTATCTCCCCCTCCAACCTTCTAGGACTGTGGTGTCCAAAGTTCAGAAGCAGTAACTGGCCAAATGGACACGTGGCTAGTACTTAGTGTGTTAGACACCAGCGCTCTAGGAAGCCCTGTTTGTTCTCTCTGTGGAGGAGAAATAGCCATCACATTCTCGTCAGCGGAGACCAGCCTGGGAGCTGGGATTAGAGCTCTAGTTTGTAAAGCTGCACTCAGACCCTCAGAGCACAGGACGGGTAATAACAGTGCTCTGCACTACTGGCAAAGATCTCCTCTGGCCTGGCCTCCATGCTGTGGACTGCATCGACCATGTTTTGCTCTCCCTTGTGCTCCTAGAGTAGCGTAGAGTAAGAGCTGTCATGCTTATTGGAGAGGAGAATTTCACCCTGTCTTGTAAGGTTATAGCCAAAGGACTGGTTTGAAGCCTAGTTTAAAGCTGGCATAAAAATAGACTTGGGGAGCTTACCAAGTAACAAGCCCTTTTCTAATTCCACAGCAATGTTAATTGGAAACTTCATTGGAAACTTCAATTTGGCAAGAGATTAGTCCACATTAGACACCAATTACTTTTGGCACTTGCAGACACAAACGCAATGCTAATTTGAAAAACTGCTGCCGTCTTCCAGCAGCTCCGACTCTTGGGATCTAATCAAGCTGCCCTGGGGAAGGTGCTGTAGCGATGCCTGGTTTTAAAGACAATCTAATATTCCAGAGTGGCTTATAGTTGTGGGTGACCAATTTGAGGCACAGTGATCTTGGGCACCCAAAAACCTAGCTCCTGTGCGGAGTATTTATAAAGCCAAGCACCCAAAATTAGCAGCTGCTGCTAAATTGTTGTTGGGAGAGGGGTGATATTTCCCCTTAAAGCTCTGTTTACAAGATAGATTCTTATGCTTCCTTCTGAGCAATTACAGCCCATCTTCCTAAGCGTGCATATTATTCCAAATTCCTCCCTGCCTAAGCCACATTCAGTTTTGTTTTTTAAAGAAGTCCTGCCTTCCCCAATAAATCAACATCGGACCAAAACCATCCTGATGTCACATGCCAGCACCTAGGGCTTGGATTTCTTTGCAACATTCCTTGTATTTATTTAGTGATACTCACAAAATGTCAAACTTAGATCTGTTTGCTCTCTTTTCTAATGACTTCTTTAAATGAAAGATGGGGCAAGACAAAAATCCTTGGCCCAAACATTCAGCTCTGGGTTGGAATTTTGTAAACAGATCAGAGAGAACGTAAACTCCAGATTGGAACAGCTCCAGGTTTTCTGGAATCTGGACCCGATCAGAAGCTGGGAGTCATCCTGGGGCCTCCAAGCAGCATGCCTGAGCTGCTCTCTGGACCTAAGCCAAAGCTCAAAGCCAGTGGGAGTCCATCCACTCTGCAGATCAGTTACTGACCCCTACAAGTGTGTCTGCACAGTTTTTAGTTGCAACTGGATGACTATATTGGCTTAGAATCATAGAACACTAGAACTGGAAGGGACCTTGAGAGGTCATCGAGTCCAGGCCCCTGCCCTCATGGCAGGACCCAGTACCACCTAGACGAGGGTTTCCCAACTTATGGGTCAGGACCCAAATATGGGTCGCCATTACATTTCAAAAGGGTCGCCAAGTGTCTCCCTAGGTGGCTCTGCCCTCCCTTCTCCCCGTTTTTAATTGCCTTGGGTCACCAAGTCTTCCTGAATTGTCAAAATGGGACCCCATCTGGAAAAGGTTGGGAATTACGGATCTAGATCATCCCTGATAGACATTTAACTAACCTGCTCTTAAATATCTCCAGAGAGGAGATTCCACAACCCCCCTGGGCAACTTATTCCAGTGTTTAACCACCCTGACAGGAAGTTTTTCTTAATGTCCAACCTAAACCTCCCTTGCTGCAGTTTAAGTCCATTGCTTCTTGTCCTATCGTCAGAGGCTAAGGAGGACAATTTTTTCCCCTCCTCCTTGTGACACCCTTTTAGATACCCAAAAACCGCTCTCATGTCCCCTCTCAGTCTTCTCCTTTCCAAACTAAACAAGCCCAGTTCTTTCAGTTCTTTCAGTCTTCCCTCATAGTCTTCCCTTCTCTAGACCTTTAGTCATGCTTGTTGCTCTTCTCTGGACTTTCTCCAATTTTTCCACATCTTTCTTAAAGTGTGGTGCCCAGAACTGGACACAATATTCCAACTGAGGCCTAATCAGTGCAGGGTAGAGCAGAAAAATAACTTCTCATGTCTTGCTTAGAAACAGAACTCGTTGAAGCAGTGCACAGATGCAATTATACCAGGAAAAAGGTGCTTTTGCTGGCATAGCTTACTCAGAAGTAGCACATATCCACTGAAACACCCTTGTTCTCATCACTGTAACTGGGGGAAGAGTGAAAGATGGGGGAAACTTTATTTGATTTTAAATGACTCTTAATATTGTCGTGATATTGCCCTAATGACCTGAGGCTGGAATTCTGCTTCCAGTTAACTCCCATCTCCTTGAATCTGCTCTGATTTGTCTCCCAGTGAAGCAATCCCACGGGTGTAGGTGAAACCCTAGAGCTCTGGGAATATTTCAGACAGGGCCCAAAGCCTGGATTTAAATTCTGGAAGAGTTTTGACTGGGAGCTCGGACCCACCTGGCTAGAATCAGTGGGTAGCAAATCAGTAGTTTCCCTCTAGCTGCCCCCACAAATGAATTTAATAATTCTGGCTTTCAGAATTGAAGACCAGGGCCAATGGGGAAAGTCTGGCCCAGCTTTACTAACAGCCAGGGGGAGGACGAGCCCAGACTTACTCTGATGTAACTTAAGGCAGAAACTGGCCCTCTCTCAGGCACGATGGGTGTGCGGGTCTAAAGCAGGAGGAAGACGAGACTGATCTAAACCGGCTCTCACAAGAGCAGCATCCAGGCAACCCCTGAGCGATGGCCGGCAACGAGCACTGACCAGAGCCGCATGGGAAGCGCGATCCTGCAGGACATCACGAGGAAGCCCCCCTCATCTCCCTTCCTAACCGGGGCCAGATCGCTCCGCTCCCGCCCGGCCCGAAAGGCTCTGTCCCCGCGGGGGGTTGTGTAACAGGGTGTCACCCAAGCGTGACAGCGCCCTGACTCAGGCACCTGGGGGGAGAGGCGACTGCTCCTTCTCCGGGCGCCAGGCTATTCCCAAGGATCCGCAGCGGCCGGGGAGGGGGCGAGTTCCTCCCGCCGCCCTCAGCAGCGAGCCCCACGCGGGTCACAGCCCACACCCCACTGGCTCTCTCGCGTGCGCCCCCGACGAGCCAATCAGTCGGGGGCCGCCTAGGTACTAGCGCTCCTCTCGATCCGGAGTCACGCCCAATTCCCCACGCCGTTAACACAACCTGTCTGGGCGCCGGCCAGGAGCCGACGGGGCCCTCTTCTCCGCCTCTTGACCCGGCTCCGGCCCCCGAGTCCCCTGCAGCCCCTTCCCGCAGCACACGCCCCGCGATCGCGTTTCCAGCAGGGCTGGGACCCGGCCTGTCAGTTTCATACCGCAGGGCCAGTCCGAGGCCCCCGGCGAGCCGTTCCCACGTCCCTACCTTCCTCGGCCCGGCAGCGGGGCAGGGCGCCGGGCAGCAGCAGCAGGGCGAAGTAGAAGGGCGCTTGTGCCCACCCGCGGGCCATGTCTCCGGCTTTCGGCTCCACAGAAAACGATCCGCCTCTCTCCGGCGGCGGCGGCTGCTGCCTTACGCGCCCTCCTGCCAGGAGCAACTTCGTGGGAGTTTGTGGGAAACTTCGGGGCTGTTCATTCATGCCCTGAGCTGATGTCACCCAAGCCACGCCCCGAGGATTGCCTCACGCGGGACCTTAAAGAGACAGAGCAACAAAGTGAGCCAGCAAAGGGAACTACTCAGACCCAGCGGGTTTGCCCGGGAGCTTTGATCTTTTACCACCTCTCACCTAAGTGCCATCCTGTTCACCCCAGGGAGGGGGGATCCTCCCACGGCGCAGAAAAGCTTCACGCAGGGACATACGGTAAATCCTCGGGAAAGGAGTGAGATGAGAAACGCCTTCATCCTGCCTCCTCCTGAGAGAGAAGGAAGGACACGTTTGGGTGTGAAAACAGAGTGTATGTAAGAGATCTCTCACCTTTTCCAGCTGGGCACCTGACACACACACCGAGATATCCTCACTGTCCTCCCACTACCGCTGGACACATCCCTACACACAAGTGCACTCAGTTTCATTCAGTAATTGTGAAGAAATGTCCTTGTAATATTCTAATCCCCAGTAAACATGCCACACTCCTTCCATGCAATTAACACTGATATGCCTCTTTCTTTTCACCTGTCCAGAAATATTTTTTAAGTTTCATCCTTTCCCCCACAGCTAGGTAACATTTTTTAATGCCCAGAGCAGAACTTGCACTAAGGCCTGGATTCTTGAAACTGCCTGGTCTGGGACTCACAACCAGAGCCCAGTTTGCAGAAGTGCTCAGAGCACTTTTTAAAATCTAGCTCCAGTTGTGAGCTCCAAGCACTTGAAACCCTGGTCCCAAGTGCTTTAGAAAGCTCAGCCCCATGGGCCATTCTCTGAACCCCACATGTCACTGGAACCTTCCAAACACCCTGGACATCCTTCTGACGCTCTCAGGGCCTCAAGTCACCAACTGATTTGCTTCTCACAGGCCATGAACCAGGAGGTGTCTCCACTGCAGCAAGCTGGGGGCAAGCAGGCCCTCATTTCTGTGGGGAGGAGATTTTGGTGGGCCCTTGCATGAGGCTGCTCTCCCTGCCAATGGTTTGACAGACCCTGGTGTGACCCCACAGAGTGGAGTAATGGCTGAAGGGGCTTGAGGAGACTCACGTGCTGCAAACAGACATTGGTTCTTTCTGCATGGGCTGGCTTCACCTGAGGTGTTGGCTACAGGGAAGTTAGTTCAGATTTCAGCTTTAAGTTTGAATTAGTCTTCCAAAGATCCAGAGGCTTGTTCACAGGCTTAACTATGTTCTTGGACTAGGACCAGTAGCGGGTGCGAGGTAACAAATGTGTTCCCCAGCAGTAGGACTGACTCTCCTATCACACAGCACTTTGGGATCTTTCTACCTTTTATTAGTAGCTTTCTATACAGCCGATGTAACCCCCCAAGCCTGCATTCTGACCAGCTGACAACAACTCCCCAGGGGCTGCTTCCGAACAGCCCTGACAAATGAAAGGATTATAGGTAAGCCTTATAAAAATAACCCAGGGTGGTATTTATGCTGCCACCATAAACCCTAATGAAGAAGGAACAATCCCATAAAGCCCAGGGAAGGGCCTGAGGTGCTGAATGCCATTCCAAGCCGACAAAGCGCTCATAAAACACCAGCCTTAACCTCATGTTTATTGTAATGTGATGGCAGCGCAATTCTGGGAAGTGTGAATTATGATAACGTCCCTGGAGCCCTTGTCACAGCCTAGTCAAGATTAGGGGTGGCCTTGAACTCCTATCTGCTGCATGGACAGAGTTATAGAATCCTAGAATCCAGAGGAGACCTCAGGAGTCATCGAGTCCAGCCCCCTGCCCAAGGCCAGGCCAACCCCAACTCCATCATCCCAGCCAGGGCTTTGTCCAGCCGGGACTTAAACACCCCTAGGGATGGAGATTCTGCGCCCTCCCTAGAGAACCCATCCCAGTGCTTCCCCCCTCCCCCCAGGGAAATAATTCTCCCTAATATCCAACCTAGATCTCCCCCATTGCAGCTTGAGACCATTGCTCCTCATCCTGCCATCTATCACCACTGCCTCTCCATCCTCTTTGGAACCTCCCTTCAGATAGTTAAAGGCTGCTATCAGATCCCCCCTCACTCTTCTTTTCTGCAAACTAAATAAGCCCAAATCCCTCAATCTCTTCTTATGTGTCACATGCTCCAGCCCCCTCATCATTTTCATTGCCCTCCGCTGGACCCTCTCCAGTGTGTTCTCATCCTTTCTGTAATGGGGGGAGAGGCAGAATTGGACGCAATACTCCAGATGTGGCCTCACCAGTGCCGAATAAAGGGGAATAATCACCTCTCTAAATCTTGTGGCAATGCTCCTCCTAATGCATCCCAATATGTTGTTAGCCTTCTGGCTACAAGGGCTCCCTGTTGACTCATCTCCAGCTTCTGATCCACTGCAATCCCCAGGTCCTTTTCTGCCAAACTGCTGCTTAGCCAGTTGGTCCCCAGCCTGTAACAATGCTTGGGATTCTTCCGTCCCAAGGGCAGAACTCTGCACTTGTTCTTGTTGAACCTCATACAATTTTGTTTGGCCCAATGCTCCAATTTGAGTAGGTCACTCGGGACCCGATGCCTATCCTCCAATGTAGCTACCTCGCCCCTAGCTTAATAATCATCTGTGAACTTTCTCAGGGTGCAATCCATCCCCTCATCCAGGTCATTAATAAAGATGTTGAAAAAAATGGCCTCAGAACCAACCGTTGTGGCACTTTGCTTGATACCAGCCACCAGACAGACATCGAGCCGTTGATACTACTTGTTGAACACGACAATCTATCCAGCTTTCTAGTCACCTTACAGTCCACACTTCCTTAACTTGCTGGCAAGAATACTGTGGGAACCGTATCAAAAGCTTTGCTAAAGTCAAGATATATCACGTCCACTGACCTTCCCATGTCTACAGGGCCAGTTACCTTGTCATAGAAGGCAATCAGGTTGGTCAGGCACGACTTGCCCTTGGTGAATCCATGTTGACTAATCTGATCACTTTCCCCTCTTCCAAGTGCTTCAAAATGGATTCCTTGAGGGTTCCGTGAATTTTCCAGGGACTGAGGTGAGGCTGACTGGTCTGTAGTTTCCCAGATTCTCCTTCTTCCATTTTTTAAAGATGGGCCTTTTTCCATTTTGCATTTTTCCAATCATTCGGGACCTCCCCTGATCTCCATGAGTTTCCAAACATAATGGCCAGTGGCTCTGCAATCAGCCAAGTCCCTCAGAACCATCAGAAGCATTAGATCCAGCCCCGTGGATCTGTGTATGTCCAGCTTTTCTAAATAGTTCTTTCTCCACCAAGGGCTTCCCACCTCCTTCTCATACTGCATTGCTAATGCAGCAGTCTGGGAGCTGACCTTGTCTGTGAAGAAAGGGGCAAAAAAGCATCGAGTACTTTAACTTTTCCTACATCATCTGTCACTGGGTTACCTCCCTCATCCAGTAGGGGCCCCACATCCTCCCTGATCACCCTCTTATTGCTAACGTGCCTGTAGAAACCTTTCTTGTTACCCGCACATCCCTTGCTAGCTGCAATTCCAATTGTGCTTTGGCCTCTCCCCTGAGTGCTAGAGCAATCTAGTTATCCTCCTGCCTAGTCATCTGTCCAAGTTTCCACTTCTTGTCAGTTTCATTTTTGTGTTAAGCTCCCTACATCTCGAAAGTGCTGCAAGACTATTCATTGTTTTTTAAATTTTTCCAGTTACAGACTAACTCGACTACCCCTCTGAAGGGTTTCACTGCTAGGCCATGCTGGCCTCCTACCATATCTGCTTTTCTTCCTATGCATCGGGATGGTTTGTTCCTGCATCTTCTTTAAAATCCAGCCATCTCTCCTGGATTCCTTTCCCCCATCATAAGCAGCGACTCCTAGGACTCCTCGCTGCTTTTTCAGATTCAGACTAACATGGCTACCCCTCTGATACTTTCCCCCTCATGTTAGCAACCCAGGGGATCCTGCCCATCAGTTCCCTGAGGGAGTCACAGGCTGCTTGTCTGAAGTCCAGGGTGTGTATTTTGCTGCCCTTCTTTCTCCCTTTCATCAGGATCCTGAACTCGACCATCTCATAATCACTGCTGCCCAGGTTGCCACCCACATCTCTTCCCCTACTATTTCCTCCCTGTTTGTGAGCAGCAGGTCAAGCTGATTCTCCATAAACTTCCTGGAGTGTCTGTGTCCCACTGTATTGGTCTCCCAACAGCTGTCAGGGCACTTGAAGTCCCCCGTGAGAACCAGGGCCTGCGATCTGGAAGCTTCTGTTACTTGTCTGAAGAAAGGCTTGTCTCTCTCTGATCCTGTGGCCCCTGGCAAGCACCCACCCAACAGGGTGAAGTTTAATAAAGACAAATGCAAAGTGCTCCACTTAGGAAGGAACAATCAGTTTCACACACACAGAATGGGAAGCAACTGTCTAGGAAGGACTGTCTATGAGCCTATGGACATTTTAAGGGGGGAGGGATAGCTCAGTGGTTTGAGCATTGGCCTGCTAAACCTAGGGTTGTGAGTTCAATCCTTGTGGAGGCCATTTGGGGCAAAAATTTGTCAGGGATGGTACTTGGTCCTGTTGTGAAGGCAGGGGACTGGACTCAATGGCCTTTCAAGGTCCCTTCCAGTTCTAGGAGATAGGCAATCTCCATTAATTTAAAGAGTACGGCAGAAAGAGATCTGGGGGTTATAGTGGACCACAAGCTGAATATGAGTCAGCAGTGTGATGCTGTTGCAAAAAAAGCAAACATGATTCTGGGATGCATTAATAGGTGTGCTGTGTGCAAACATGAAAAGTCATTCTTCTGCTCTGCTCTGCGCTACTTAGGCTGAAAGAATTGGGTTTGTTTAGTTTAGAAAAGAGAAGATTGAGGGGGGACATGAGAGCTGTTTTCAGATATCTAAAAGGGTGTCACAAGGAGGAGGGAGAAAACTTGTTCATCTTGGCCTCTGAGGATAGAACAAGCAGCAATGGGCTTAAACTGCAGCAAGGGAGGTTTAGGTTGGACATTAGGAAAAACTTCCTAACTGTCAGGGTGGTTAAACACTGGAATAAATTGCCCAG